AATTACGATGCATTATGGTTCAGTGATGCAATACATTTCTACCTTGGAGCACCAGAGGATTAGTAATTCTATACGTATCACTTAAAAGGAGGAAAAAAATACTGTGTCCAGCTTATGAACCATTTGCTCAACTATTTGTGTTCTCTTTGGAGGGAAATGCCTGCAGTGAATCCAGCATAATAATAACAGCTCCTTACAGTATGTGGCTCAGGCAGATAAGAGCTTAATATTATGGTACTACATTTTTGTATGAAATGTCAAGGGCTGTAGCATCAACATGTTGGAGGTGATTGTAAAGCAGTCTTGAGTACTACAGATTTCAATTTGTAATTCAAAATCAGAATGTGATAGCTGCTTCTTGCTCCATTTGCCAATTTTAGCTGAAAAATCCTCATTTAAAATTCCGTTACCATTAGAAATGTCTTTTTTCTTTGTTTATTTGGTACTGTATTACGATTTGCCAAAAACACAGCACTTGCCCTTATGGTTCAGAAAGTACAAAAGAGGAATGACAGTAGGCTTTTGTAAATTGTGTTGTGTTTTGGTTGGTTTGTTTGTTTGTTTTTTGTAAACAGGGATAACTGATTTATCTGTTTTCATAGGGTGGTTCCCCTCTACCTAATGGTTACTTTGTTGGTTTTTTTTCTTCATAGCTGTAACTCTTACTAATTTCTTCTACTGAATATCTTAAACAGATTGATGTTTATTAGTTGCACTGCACCTTACGTAAGTAGTTTGAGTGGTGAAAAGAATTATGTAAATCAGCAGCTTTTCAGACTCTCAACACTTCATAAGCCAATGTTTTATGGATGTTAGTTTCTATGCAGAGTCAGTGCCTTGGAATCTGAGTTTCAGAAAGCAGTGTTTTTCAGTATTGCAAAATCATATTTTCTTCTTGCTGGAAAAAAACCAACATTTTTGCTAGCTTGTTTATGTGGTGGCTGAAGGTTTATAAACTTCTTCTATGCTTTCCATTGCCACAGGGTTGCATTACTTTTGGGAAGAGAAGCTTCAATGTGGGGATGATAAATACCGGCATTTACTTACTTTTATTATGTAAAAATGTGTCCAGTCTGACTATAATATTAATTATTACACTAAAGGTCACATTTTTCTCAGGTTAAAGTTCCTCTGCTCTCCATCTCTTAATTGGCTGTGGCATTTAATACGATGAGAAGAAAATATAGATAAGTTATCTTGTTTCATTTTGTAAATAATATCTGAACTGAAATATGCAAATTCTCTGAGTGCTCATTATAAAAAATAGACCCCCTTTTAGCAATTTTTTGCAGTCTTACTTTATTTTTCATTTCGTGTACTCTTTTCTGCAGATCTGGTTGGCAAGTTTAATTACTGCCTCCCTGAAAAGATGTTTGTGAAGTCTAAAGTGTATCATTTTCCTTTAGAGGGAACCACGGTGGGAAGGGGAAGAAAGTAAAGTGTTTGCCAAATAGCTGCATAGATGTGGTTTTGTGTACCCTTAAAAATTTGCAGTTATTCTAACAGAATGGCAGCTGCAAAGTTCAAAATTCAGAGAATCTGAAGATCCTTCCAGAAAACTTGTAATTACTCAAACACTAAGACATGTAGTTTAAGGAAGATAAAGCAAAACAAGTTGCTGCTGTTGCAGTTGTTCTGGATGCTTACAGTCTTGGTGTTTTTCTTCACATAGTGTCAATAGTCCCCTTCCCTGGGTAAGCAGTAATTTTTTAATTAAATGGAATTTTGAAGACAAATACCAGTTTCTCAATGCCAACTTGTCACAGAAAGAATTGCTTACAGTGGATCTAGTCAACATAGACCAGAGAGAATTAATCAGAAAGGTTAGCTGCAGCAGCATTCTTTTGGCTCTATAAAACAGCAAAGTGCCTTAACTCTCAGTGGCTTTGCAAACATCAAGGCTATTCAGCACCTACAAAATTTACTTAATGTTTCAGACCTAAGCTTGGGAACCACTCAGCAGTGACAGTAAGTTACGGACTTATTACCAGCACATGGCTTAAAAATGCTGCTATTATCAGACTGTGATCCAGTGTCATCCTTGTGAAAGTGCCAGTCCTACAGGTACTCAAGTATTTAACTAGCCTGGTTTATTCTTTTCATGCAGAGAGAGGCTTAAGTATGCCTAAAGTCAGAGTCAGCCTGAAATCACCTTGTGTACCTCAAAGGATTTTCCCAGTGCTTCTTGTCCAGTCTTTGTTGATGTATGGTGATTACTAGTAACTTCAGTGTCTAATTGCAGCTGTTTTTAATGACTGGCAATTTCTTTTGACACTAGGTGATGCAAATGTATCTCCCATTCTGTGGGATTGCTATATCCAATGCCCAGCTATTTGCAGCTTCAAGGAAGGAATATGACAGAAGCAGGGTAAGTGAAAAATGTACATTGGACCAGTATCAAATCTTTGTCTTTTGTTCCTTCAGATTCCAGCTGTGCATACGTGTTTCTTAAGTGGACAGTTTTAAATGTGTTTTATTTTAAAAAATGCATTTTCAACAGATCACTGGCTTGACTGAGGCAGCAAGCAGAGAGCATGGGAGGGAAAGATACTCATGGTCATGGCTTTTGTTTTCTAATGTCACTTCCATGTTTCATAGTGCTGAAACTATTGCATTTGAGACGGGTGGTACAGGAGAGAGAGTTACTTTGGCAGAGATTTGAACTCCCATGAAATTGCAGAAATATCACACCTTTGCCATCCTGAATTTTTAATACTATTGTGTAAATAATGTAGATATAACTTCACAAAAATAGGAAAGGAATAATCTTTATGTGAAGGATTTTGACAGCATGTGTCTATATTACTCATTCATGATTGCTGATGCCATGTATGAGTTGGGACAGGAGGCTCCAAAGAAGTGAAAACAAGGCTGACCTCATGTCCTTTACTTCTCAGAGAGGTCTTTTATTTTTTCAGTAAATAAAATGGTAATTTTGAGGGTATTTTATAATTGTTGGCTTTTTTTTTATATCACCTTTCCTGCAATGATGGGAAATGTTACTTTTGTTATTGTGGATCACAGCTCACCAAAGCTCTAGCAGAAATACCACTGGTAGTGTTCAACCTTCTCTCACTTCACAAAGTGAGGGAAACTAGAGTGGGGTGGGTCTGTGTAATGAGCACTCGTATTTGTATATTCAGAATGTTGGTGCTTTCAGTGTATGGAAACTAATGTTTCCACCACTTTGAAAACTACGAATAGCCCTTTTCTAATGATGTACATATTTAAAGTTCATGAAGCATCTGAGCTTGTCTTTCTGACCACTATGTTTTGGGGTGAAGGTGTGGAGGAGACTTGGGAGAGAAAAAACTTTTTCTGCCAAGTATGTTTTTCTTTGATGTTCAAACAAAATAATTGTTTGACTACTTAGAGCCTTAAAATTTGCTGCAGATTCCCAGCCTGCAAGGAACAATGACAGATTTTTGAGGAGTCAGTGTTTAATCTTCCAAGGGAGGCATTCAGCAGAAAGTATCTAAGGACATTCTCGTTCTTCATTAGAAAATGGTACATTCTGGTGATTGGACACATCAGGAAATTGGATTAGAGATACAGATTCTTTGTTTCTTTCTGCTGCTTTGGCCATACAAGGCGTAACAAATATCATTGCCATCTGACAGCTACATGGTGGCCTCTGTTTAGCTGCATTTTTGACCTGTTGGTGGTGTTTAGCTTTGGTTAGTCCATGGTTGAAATCAGTTATCAAGTAATACATGATGGAAAAGACCATACTTTGCCTTCCCTATCAAACTGGGAACTTGCAGGCAAGTTCCAGTGGCTGTGACCAATGTTTTGCTGATGAACACTGTGATAGGAGACCTAAGACCACTAACATTTATGTGCTTACCTATATGGATTTTCTTTAGTGTCTGTGCCCTAAACCAGAATAAAGGCACACTTCTTTGGACCCACGGCAAGGAAGAACATGGCCTATTATTTTTAAAGTCAATAAAATGAGAGGGGAAGTCCTACATTTTAAAACACTCTTCTATAAATGTGTTGTTAGGGGTAAAGACTGGATGAGGGTGCTATCAGAATATGGAAGTATTGATGTGTTGTATTCTTTCCAACTTCGAACATGCAAAATGGATAGTAAATTAATAAAATGGAGTTTAAAAGCACCAGTAAATTCATATAGCAAATCACCTAACTCAATCCATACTGCATACTTGAAGAGTTGCATTACAGCTATTGTTTCTTTTCTGGACCACAGTGAAGCAGTTTGAAAGATCCTCATTGTTTGCTAAAAGTTGGATTGTGCCCAATTGTGGACTAAGAAATATTGAACTTCTTTCTTTCTTCAGATACCCTCACCCCAATTCTGATTCAAACTTTATTTGAATGAAGATTTCAATGGATCGCTTATATTAAAACCAGTTCCAGAGGTTATGCCTCCTTTGCAATGCTCCATGTATTTGTTTATTGTACAACCAATGCCACAGTTTTCTGTCCTTGTATGCAGGCTTTACTGGAAGTAGTGAATGACCTCTTTGAGGAACAGACTGACTTAGAGAAAATTGTCAAGAAAATCATGCATCGAGCCCAGACTCTGCTGAAGTGTGAACGGTGCTCAGTATTACTTCTAGAAGATATAGAATCACCAGTAAGTATATCTGCACATTCTGTAGAAAACCTAATATTTGAGTGGTGGAACAGCTGCTTTTATTGTGCTGAAGATGGTTCATATCATAGGTGAGTACTGGACAGCAAGTATTCTTTCAGCACTTTGCTCTTAAATGCAAATTAATTACAGGTTGAATCTTTCTCAACACCACTGTTGTGGTTTAACCTCAGGAGGCAGCTAAGCCCCACACAGCTGCTCACTCATTTCCACACGCCAGGGGGATGGGGAAGGGAATGTAAAGGGTTGAAGCGTGAACAGTAATTGGTTGAGATAAAGACAATTTACTAGCTAAAGCAAAAGCTGTGTGCACAAGCAAAGCAAAACAAGGAATTTGTACCCTACTTCCAATCGGTAGGCAGGTGTCCTGTCAATTCCAGGAAAGCATGCCTTCATCACATGTCGTGGTTACCTGGAAAGACAAATGCCATAACTCTGAAGTGCCCCCCTTCCTCTTCCTTCCTGCAGCTTTTACTGCTGAGCACATCATCATACGGTGTGGCATGTCAGTTGGGGTCAGCTGTCCCAGCTGTGTCCCTTCCCAATCTATTATGCACCCCCTAGTCTCACTGAAAGGGGCATAGTGAGAAACAGAGAAGGCCTTGACACTCTCTAAGTACTGTTCAGCAATAATGAAAACATCCCTGTGTTATCAACACTGTTTTAATCGCAAATCTAAAACATGTCACCACACATGCTACTGTGAAAAAAATTAACCCCATCCCAGCTAAAACCAGTATATCCACTTTTTCAAATGGAAAATGAAATGTACATTTATGATCCTTCTGGGTATTTGAAGGCATTTAATGAGATGTCTGGAATTGCTGGTGGATGTATCAGTGTTATGATCCAGCTGATATGTTGTGATTCTCATTTTTCTGTATGATTGATTCAGTGCTTACTACAGAGCAGCTAGGACAGCTTAACTGAGAAGCAGGGTGCTCATTGGGTCTGCTTAAAAAAGAAAAATTACCTGTTTTGTCATATGTATTTGCTTTGATATTTTTTAATGGTATAGCCACTAGAAGAAAAGTCAATTTTGAAACTTCACTTACATTTGCCTGGACTTTATGACTTTGCTAACATTTTCAGGCTAATGGCTTATCAAGTGAGTGGTGCTTGTAAGCAGTTTTGAAAACATAATCATTTGCATTATCAACCAAATCTTTAATGCTCATTTTTCGAACTATCCTTTTCTGCATACATTCCAAGAAATAATTATCAGACATCTTTGTTGCTGTTTCTACAGTGTTCATACTTTTGCATCTGTTATTGTTGTTTAACTGCAGTCAACTGAAACACATAGTTTCTGTTCTAGTATGTAACAGAATCATAGAATGGTTTGGGTTGGAAGGGATATTTCAAGGTCACCTAGTCCAATTCCCTGTGCAATGAGCAGGGGCATCTTCAACTAGATCAGGTTGCTCATGCTTTAATCAGACTATTGGTCCTGCAAAAATAACAAGTAAAAATAAACTCATCAAAGGTTTGTATTTGTATTTTAATCCTGTGTATTCAGCAACTCAGTAGGCTTTACAGAGTTTCTTTTTTTTTTTTTTTTCTTTTTTCCTCAAATCCATGAGATTTGTTCCTTCCTGAATGTTTTCCAGTCACTCTAGATGTTGGCAGGGCTATGTTTGGGAGTGGGAGTATCTATGTTTGAACATCTTTCCTTAATACGTTGAAAAATTATTAATGAGAACAGGTTTTGGTTCCTAAATGACAAAAGTGCTGTGAAAGGATAAGTTCTTGTGTTATTTTCTCCTAGTAATTTCCCCCTAAGGTAACACATTTGCATTCAAATGTCACAAACTTGTTCTGGGAAGAAGTTTTTGCACTGAGAGTATGAAGTGAAAATAGGATTTCCGGCATTACTGAAGTATGTTTTTTGCAGTTGTTCTTTCTACTTGGCCAAAGATTAATTATTTCAATGCAGAGCTCTGTTGATTTGGATGGACATAAGCTGTTTGTCAAAGTTGGCTTTCATGCACTTTTGTCAGGGGCTTTCACTGGGATGTTGTGGTACTGCCATTTGTAGGGTATGAGAGCCTCTAAGAAAGTTTGACATTTTTTGTGACTATTGTTAGTAGTAAAATAAAGGACTGCCTTTTTATTGGTAGCTCCCTTCAGTATTTTCAGTGTTTTCACTATCATCTTTACTGCTGATTTGAGAAGCAGCTGAACGATAAAAATGTTACTCTTAATATTCTTTTTTTCTATCGAAGTATGTTTGGATTCACTGACTCTGTAATTGGTTATTTGTTACAGGGCTGTGACAAGTCTAAATGATTATCAGAGACAGAATCATAAATTCTGTGTATGGCAGAAAAAAAATAATCTTTTCCTTCCTGGAAGTAAAGATGATTATCATTTCATATAAACTAATATAAATTAAATACTTCCAGAAGAATATGCTCTAAATTCCACCAGCATTCATAAAAGCAAGTGACATTTGTACATAGTTTATATGTTCTGTGTTGCAGAATTTTGATGTTTCTGGTTGATTGTCTCTTTCAAGACTCCCCCACACTTGTTTTATAATTACAAGACAGTTCTACTACATTCTTATGAAATGTCATTATGTTTGCAAGTATAATACAATTTTTCACAGAGCAGTACGCTGTGGTAGTAGCAGGCTGTGGGTGGCATTGTTCACTATTTCTACGTTTGAACATGGAGGGCTTTTTTCCAAACAAAAGGCAATGAGTTCTCATTCCTCTAGACCAAATTCTGAAATATGGAGAGCCAAGGTATTCAGTTAAGCCTAAAATTTTTCTAAACGTTCATAAATCATAGGTTAATTTGGAGTAGGAGAATATATCTTGCCACCCACTTGGTCATTTTCACAAGTGGTAAAACAATTATTTTCCTGATTCCCCCCTATTTTAGAGGGTTAACCTATATATTAAAATAGATCTGCACACTAACTGAGTGTTAAGCTACATCTAAAATACCATCATTTGCACATTGCATGAAAAGCTTTTACAACACAGAACTGAAGTGGAAGGTGGGGACTCATGCCAGCATCCAAAAACATTACCTGTGTTCTGTGTCACATGAGACACTCTTAAAATGTTTCCCTTATGTGCTCTTGGCATATTATATTCAAGAAAAATCCATTGCAATTAGTAGTGCAAATGACTTTATTTTTCTGTATTTAAAAACTGTGAAGTTTGTGTAAAACTCCATAATTCCCATTCCAAAGCCCTTTGAAGGGAAGCATATACTGATGCAGAAAATAGTTTCATAAAGGAATCTAAAGATATAATTTGATTTGACATTGTTTGTTAGTGAACTGTGCACAGTGTGTATTTTTAACACAGATTCTCCATTGGGGGAATACTGATTGGATTTTTATAAAAATTGGGTTTTAATGTAGGAAGCTTACATTACTGTTTCCTTACATATTTATTCATCTTAACTATTTTAAGTTACTTTTTTTGACAGGTGGTGAAATTTACAAAATCCTTTGAGTTGTTATCTCCAAAATACAGTGCTGATACTGACAACAGGTTAGTGCTGATGTCTGCTTTATTTTTTCACTTGGTTTTGTATTATATGTAATATATACATTATATCGTACTTTTTTTTCTTATTGAACATTGGTTAGATTTGATGGAAGAGTGTGAGCCTACAGTTTTTACTCAGACAATGCTCTTGCTCACTTAAAATTGAGACTTGCTTTGAATATGTGCCTATATTCTTTTATATGTGTGTGTGCATATATATATATGATAACATTGTATCAATGTCTCAGAGAATGAAATAACTCACCATTTTTTCTTGTAGAAGTCGTGGAGAACAAATAAAAGTTTGCATGGTTAGTACTGAAGTAAAAATCATGACATTGTTTTAGATATCTTGTTGATCTCTTACAAAATGCCTCCTTACCATTGTGTTGGAGGTTTCCAAAAAGATTTTATTTCTACTCCTGTTGTCAAGTTGGAAAGCCAAAAAACCTCAGAGAACATGTATTTCCTAGAGATTGTGTCCCTGTACCTGAATCTTGTTTGGGAGCCTAGTTAAAATAGAAATATATGCATTTAAACATCAATAAAGGACTACTTGTAACTAGTAATAAAAAGTTTTTTGTCCATGTGGGGTTACTGTATTAATTCCTATAAGGTAATACAACTGATAACAGTTCATATAAAACATCCTACATACATTGTAAAAAAAACTCCTCTCCAGCTTTTCTGTAGCCTCCTTCAGGTTCTGGAAGGCTGCTGTAAGGTCTTCCTGGAGCCTTCTCTTCTCCAGGCTGAACAGCCCCAACTCTCTCAGCCTGTCCTTGCAGGAGAGCTGCTCCAGCCCTCAGATCATCTTCATGGCCCTCCTCTGGACTTTCTCCATGAGCTCCACATCCTTCTTATGTGTCCAGAATTGGACACAGTACTCCAGGCGGTGTCCTCAATAAAAGGGGAGAATCATGTCCCTAGTCCTGCTGGCCACACTTTTGATGCAGCCCAGGACACAGTTGACTTTCTGGGCTGCAAGTGGACATGGCCAGCTCATGTTGAGCTTCTTGTCCACCATCACTCGCAAGTCCTTCTCCTCCAGACTGTTTTTGATCCATTCTCCACCCAGCCTGTATTTGTGCTTGGGATTGCCCTGACCTAGGTGTGGGACTTGCACTTGGCCTGGTTGAACTTCATGCAGTTTGCATGAGCCCACTTCTCAAGCCTGTCAAGGTCCCTCCATTGTGTCTACCTCACCACACTTTGATGTCATCAGCAAACTTGCTGAGGGTGCACTCAGTGCCACTGTCCATGTCACCAACAAAGATGTTAAATAGCACTGATCCAAGCACTGACCCTCGAGGAACCCCACTCATCACAGCTCTCCATCTGGACATTGATCTGTTGATCACCACTCCTTGAATGTGACCATGCAAATCAATTCATCCTTATTCTGAATTAGAATTTGCCATGGCAAATGGATGCTGTAATGACAAACATAGCTTTCTGTCCAACTTGCTATCCAGAGCTTAGCAAACTCGATTGTTACTTAGTGCTTTGCCAAATATAAGCCCTTTAAGCATCTTCTAAAAAATATTTTTGGGTAAATTGCCTTATTTTGTGCCATATTTCTTCACCTCCAGTGTGGTAGGAAACTTCATTAAGGTGAATGTGCACATTGCACTCCAGATTGTGACAGGTTGTAACTTTTCGTGGTTTGATCTCACAGCATTACAAAAGTGGGCAGTGTTAATTTTAAGATGTGCAAGCAGACAGCAGAATCCAGGGCCACACAGAAAGATGGGTAGAAGGTAGATCTCTTTCATGCCCTACCCACTAGCTGAAAAATGGAAATGGTGAGACAAATAGAAAAGGAAAGCAAGTGATAAAAAATAAAGTCTAAACAGGAATTTTAAAAGCTCTGCTTTTGAGAAAGAGCTGCAGAGAGGCAGTTGGTTCTTCCTACGTTAAGTGAACGGGTGAAAATACATTATTTCTTTAAGGGACGGGAGTGTGAATCAAGGATGTGGTTGTTATTCTTGTTTTTCTCAGACTTGATCTGTAGCCAGATTAATCAAAACAATGTAGGGTGGTGTCAAGATAACCAAGCTGGCTCAGTTCTTGTTACCATAGTTATATTAGCACACTACCAAAAAGCAATTTGTAGTAGCCTGCTCTGCATGTAGTCAAGTCAAGATTATTTTAACTTTAGTCTGAGACATGCATAAACACACATAACCTGATAGGGAGTCATTGCAAGATTTATAAAGGTAAATATCTGTACATCTTAATAGAAATATTTACTGTTTTTTCTTTCATTTCTTATCCAGTGGAGAGTGAAGGTGGTTTTACAAAGATCAAGGTTAGACTGGCAGATATGACGTCACATTTGGATCTAGTAAAAGCACAGCTTGAGTTATTGGCACTGTAGTGGGAAAATAAAGGTTATTTAGGATACCGAACAATGCCATGAGCCCTTGACATTTAAACATTTTCCTAGTGAGTTTTGCCCTTTTCATTCTACATTCCACACCCAGTGGTTTTACAAAGATCAAGGTTAGACTGGCAGATATGACGTCACATTTGGATCTAGTAAAAGCACAGCTTGAGTTATTGGCACTGTAGTGGGAAAATAAAGGTTATTTAGGATACCGAACAATGCCATGAGCCCTTGACATTTAAACATTTTCCTAGTGAGTTTTGCCCTTTTCATTCTACATTCCACACCCATAAATGATGAGATATTTTATGTGGAAAAAAAAAAAAAATGGCAAGATTCGTTTCTTCCTTGTTACACCAGCAGAGACAAAATATTTACTTTTTTTTATTATTATTGTAGTGGAAATCCAAAGAGATTGTAGGACAAGAACAATTCTAGTTATAAGTTTTATCTGAAAGAGAGAGAAGCTCCACACTTTTAATATCCTAATCTACTTTCTCACACAGTTTTAGAAGAAACTGGCTTTTATTTTGCCCTTCTTACATCTGCCTTAATAACATCTCACCTGTTTAGTTCCTATATACTTTTAGTCCCTAATTTTTTTTTCTTTGCTGTTGGTTGTAAAGAAACACCTTGCAAGACCGTGCTTGTGTTTATCTGTTCAGTTTGCAGTTTTCCAGCACACACCATGATCAAGGTTGCTTATCCACAATGGCAAACTGATGCTGTCCTTTTATCCAGTCATTTTGTTCTTTAAGTATGGCTTTGCCCAAGTCTCCTAAATTTTCTCTCTCTTTGGAAAAACAGATTACATAAATCTTAAGAGCCTTGAACGTTCAGTTCTGATGTGTTCAGGAGGAAGATGAGCCCAACGGAAGATGCTGATGGGTTGTCCTTGCTGCACAGAAGCTGTTGTCTTGGCAGATGATTACACCTCTCTATCCTGAGTACCAGTGGTAGTGGAGAGTTTGGCTGCTTGAGCCAGAGCGTGGGTTGCATGTGAGAAGATACCTGTGCTCCCTCCCAGTTGGGCTGGTACAGGGACAGTGCTGAAATCCCCGCTGCTGCTGTCTCTCCACCAGTGCCCCTGGGATAACATGCACTCTGGTAACACCTCGTTCCCTGCACTATTTTTATGTTTCTTAGGGCATCTTTATGCTTTTCTGGTCCTAGGAGCTGGGAGGGTTCATGTTACTGTTCAGAGAGGATTAAAGATACCTGTGATTTTGGCTGTACCACTTCTCTACTGTGTTATCTGGCATTCTGGTTAGGGAGGCTTTGGGGAAGACAGCAGGGCAAGCAGCTGCATAAGGAGAGTCTGGAGCACTGCTCAGGTGTTCAAAATTGATCAGCTTTCTTGTCAAAACTAAGGCAACTTGTGTTCATTTATTCACACATGAATAGCTACCCCTTGCCAGCATCCAAAACCTGTCTGCAAGAAGTCAATGAGAACTTTCTTGCTGATTAGATGAGGTGTAAGGTGTAGACTTAGAGGCTCGTGTAGATACTGAGTTTTCTGAAGAAGCTGCAGTGGAACATGGTGAGTTGATCCCACAATTCTAAAGTCTTAACCTCATTAACTGACAGCTCTTTAGCCCCTCAGAAGTTGTGGCAGAAGCTCAGCCAGGAAAAACAAAACAAACTTTCATGTATTCTATGTCTTCTTGAATTCACCCAGTTCAACACACTTTCATTATTGATTTTAATCCTTATTTCATGATTCCTTCTTCAGCTATTCAGGTCTGGCAGTTCAGACCAAAATAAATAAATAAAGACAGCTCTCTTGACAGGAAAATTATTGGAAGCCTGAATTTAAAATATCCCAAATTATCAGACTAATTTGAAAAATCTTAAAAGTGTATACTTTCAAGTAGCTCTAAAGAAAATATTATTTAGAACTGGTTGGTTTTGGTGAGCAGGCCTGTATCCCACAGAAACTTGGAACATAATCTCACTCTCTTCATATGTAAACACATTTCATTATTAATTGCTCTATTTACTTTACTTGGGACACCAATGCTATTTTCAGTACAAAGAGTTGTGTAAAGGAGAGAATTTTTGATGTAACACATCAAGAAATAACAAATTATTGTTCCATTGATAATACTTTGTAACTGTTAATAACTGTGAATGGTTTTGCTGTTCCTATGAATATGCCCATAAAAAAGCATGATTGACTTTTAAGCAGCATTGACTGTTGTTTTTTTTCCCTTGCTGTGCCTTTTGATAGTTTCAAAGACAACATGGAGAAATCATCATCTTATTCTGACTGGCTAATAAATAATAGCATTGCTGAACTTGTTGCTTCCACGGGTCTCCCAGTGAACATCAGTGATGCCTACCAGGATCCTCGCTTTGATGCTGAAGTAAGAGATTTTTAGAAATGTATATATAAATCACATTTTCGGCATTGCAACTAATATAACAATTTTATTGGTATAGCCAAGTGGCTCAACATATGACTATTTATTGTGTATTATTTTTTCTATCCATTATGTCTTTTGGGTCTGCTGGTGTTGACATGGCTTTGTACAGTAAACACAGGTCACTGAATTAGTGTATGACTTCAGGCAGTTACTTTGTCTGTGAATTATTTTTTTTTTTCTATTTATATAAGTGACGCCTTCCTCGGTCAAGTGTTTTGATGTTTATGCAAACTGATCTTTATGGCTGAAAATTCTGCTGTTTGTGTTCAGTGTTAGCAGTACCATCGTTCTTAGCTGGGGTGACTGGCACTCTGCACACATAGAGTGAAAACAGAACCAGTATCTAGAGAGACAAGCCTAGCCAACCGAGCTTTTAATCTGCACAAATAAAATACACTGGATTAGTTATTTCTCCAAGATACATGTAACTCCTAATAAAAGTTGTGTATCCAAAGGTATTCATTCCAGCCTCAGTCAGGAAGGTGTACATACAGATAAAAACACAGGTGTATACTGAACACATAAATAAATTTTAGAGGCATATGGAAGGACAAGATCTTCACTGAATTCTGTCAGAAGTCTTATTCTCATTAACTGACAGCAGTCGCTGAATTCAGTACAGGAACACTGTGGGGGACTTGGCCAGCAGTTGGGCAGCACATTAATCAGCAGCCAGCCTTAGTCAGCAAGCTTGCTAAACTATATTACTACAATAAGTGTGCTTGGAAGTATTTCATCTTGAGAGTTTGCTTGGTTCCAGTTCTATTCCATGTGTCATTAAAGGGACTATCTCTCAAACAAGCAGATTTTGTCAAAACAAGAAAAATGAAAGGGACTTGCTGTAGAAGTGTACAAGAAAACTGTCAGTGCTAATTTGCTCAGAATTTCAAGTACAATTAATGCCTGGGGTCTATTTTTTGCCAAAGAAATATGCTAAAATAAAGCATGCCAATACTTGATATGTTTGCAGTTGTACTTTTAATATATAATGTCCTGAATAATTGAGCTCTTATTTGTTTCACAGTTACTCCTTTCCAAGTCAGAAGCATTGGCCAATTTATGTAGAGAAAATCAAAAGACTTAATAAAAAGAGTAGTAATAATCTTCTGTCAGTAGGTTCCTATGAAAATTTAATTCTTAAATTCAGTTGTTACAACCAATTATTTCTGCAGACAGTCAAGTGTAGGAAAATGAACTTATTATCCCTTGTGACTGAGATACGATCAAACATGCATTTGTATTTATGAACAGACATTATGTTTTCTGTTTCTATTAAAAACCACTCTTCTTTCTCCCAGAACACTGTCATTTTCAAATGTTGATGCTAAATTTTCAGTGCATTCACTGAGACTTTAATGCCGAAGTATTTTAATTGAGTTAATTTTAAGATACACATCTGAGACAACTGTTGCCACACTCCCATGGATTTTAGGTGGCACAGCAAGCTGATATCGGTGATGAGTTCTGAGCATGTACAAATAAGCAGTATTCTAGTAAAACCTGAGTTGTATTCTTTGCTAGCTAGATGACAGTGATCCTACCCTGCCTCCACTATATTAATTACTGCTGGTCTTTTTCTTTTATTAGAGACTGCCTGTAGCACTGACAGTTTTAGTTAAAGGACATCTCTTGATCTTCTGTGAGAGGGCTCATCCCACTTTCTTACTCTAATCTCTTTTGAAAAAATATTTTCCTCAGATTTTGCAGCAATGGCCCTAAAGAACAAGGCTTATTAACCACATAAAAGAGAGAATCAGTGATGCTTACAATAAATTGCAAAGTTTTACACTATATTAAATTACAGGAGCAATTAAACCTACACAGAAAATCTCAAATCTTGGTTTTGACCCCATCCTTCCATTTCTTCCCAGCTCGCACTTCTGAACAATTCCCTAATTACTCTTGCCTTTCTTCTGAAAATGTGATTTCCTGTAAGCCCCTTTTAATAGCTGCTTTGCTAAATCCAGTTTCAGTGTTTCTAAGTCAAACTTATTCAATGGAGATTGTCTACGCTAATCCAGCAGCACAAGTAATCCAGAAATTGTCTGGACATTGTCTCAATTGCAGTTTGTCCTTAATTCCAAATCAAGTAGTTTATGCTTTCTGTTAGAAAGATGGCAGTGTTTGTATTTTCTTCGGCAATTATTAGAATAATCCTTGTGACTTTTGGTTAATCTTGCTGTGAATGAGGTTTCAGCGGAAATATTTTCTGAGTGAAAGTGGAACCATATGGAATGATATTTGTAAATGTAAACTTACTCTTTGACATTTCTGTTACTGTGACATAAAAGGCTGTGAATGGTCCCTACAGCTAATGGAAGCTCTCGTTTGTATGTTTTAGGCTGACCAGATTTCTGGCTTTCACATAAGATCTGTTCTGTGTGTTCCTATATGGAATAGCAACCACCAAATAATTGGTAAGACCTTCCTCATAGCTGCATCATTTTTGTGCTAATGTAAATTTAGTTCTGCCTTTTTAATTCTATGTTCCTTTTTCTTCTTTTTCCCAGCTGAATATTGTTAAGAAGTTACGGTACCTAGGATGCATGCTAAGTATCCAAGAAGAGACTTGGATACTGTATGGACTTTTTCAGCTTTCCCATTGTGTCATTGTTAAGTTATATATTGTATTGAAACTGGAAGATTAATGAGATGAAAATAGAAATTCAAACAATATTAGTGATATATGCTTTGATGTACTTCTTGGGTCTCCCTTTCTGCTACACAACTCAGACAACTTGTTTCTGCAGTCCAGCAAAGTGGTCATTTCCTTCTTGAATGGGAAACTACACAACTCAGGGAAGACTTACTGGAGGGGCTGTGGCAGCTGCCAGAGTTGCCTGTGGCAGTGGTGCACGCAGGATCAGGGTGTAACAGGGTTTTATTACTTGCTTGATAAGATGCTTCCCAGCTATGATACACCTGCAATTGACCCTGCTTCTGGCACAAAAAGAAGCACCACTTGTAAATAAGTGCCAGATTCCTTTGTTAACTTTCCACAGACAACTGAGGTCATAGCAATAGCAATTTAAACCAGCAGGGTAAGACTTTGATCCTTGTATGTTTTGGCTGTTGGGGAGAGCAGAGCTGAGATGAGCAGTGCATTGATGGAGGTATCCTTCAGGACCAGGATCTTCAAGCTTATTCAGCAGAGATGATGTGGGTATTGAATCTTAAAAAATATGGCTCATTGTTTGTTGTGAAATGCCTATTGCTTTAAAGAAGTAGAAAGAAACAGAACCCTTGACTGCTGATAGCTCCCTCAGTAGTTTTCTAAGGGCATATTGTAGCTAAATGAAATAGAAACAGTTTGTTGCAGTAGAACTCTGTCTTAGTTTGGCAAGAGCCAAGAGCCTTGAAAACTTTTGCTTTTTCGAGTGGTTTAAGGAAATTATTTTTTCATTGGTTCAATAAATTCATGAAACAGTCATGAGCAAAAAAGGACTTACATGCACAGGTGATGCTAAACCAACTAAGATTTTAGGAATAAAGGTACTGATTCAGCAAGTTACATTAGTAACTTGAAATTGCTAGGACACCTTACATGATTGCTGTTAGCAAAGTGCTCAAGTCCCAAAGAGATAAATAACTTTTTGTGAAAAGTGTTGCAAGTAACTTTTAAATTTGCAGTATTATACTTAAAGAATAATGAAGGATAATTGAAAGTTATAAGCTGAGTCCTGGTATCGAAACAATCAGACTTTCACATGTTTATGTCTATCTAATAATTTCAGAATAAGTATTTGCAGTTTTGTTTTTCAGTTTGAAAAAATTTACTTTAAATCTTACCAATCATTAAAATAATCTGCATTGTGAATTAATCAGTGAAGATTATAATTCGTATGAATTCTTTTTAAAGGTGTAGCTCAAGTGTTGAACAGGCTTGATGGGAAATCCTTTGACGATGCTGACCAGCGACTGTTTGAAGTAAGAGACTTTTGATTTTGCAGCAGTAACATAATTTTTCAGTAGGATTTGGTACTTCTGGGTAATGCTGCTTCAGGCTACTTCTAGGGAGGGGTGGAAGAATATGTTGACTGTACCGTGATTTGTTTTATTGTGGTTTATTAATTCTCAGAAATCCTCACTTAGTAAGGTTGCATTCTAATTAAAATTAGTTTCTTGCATCTGTTCTTTCTCATCTTGTTGAAGCCAGTGACCTACCTGCAAGAATATCTGTATAAGCACTATTATTCTAATCTTTCTATGCAATTCCTTTTAATGATTAAGCCAGCATTCATCTTTGTGTTTTTATTGTAACTGAATTATATTTGACTTTTTCTTTTTCCTCTTTTTAATTTTAGGCTTTTGTTATTTTTTGTGGCTTGGGCATCAACAACACAATTATGTATGACCAAGTGAAGAAATCCTGGGCAAAACAGTCTGTGGCTCTTGACGTATGTGTACTTCTCAATGAAACTTTTTTTTGCTCAAAATTGTCACATGGAAAGGAACCTACTGCTTCTGAATTTATTTTAGCATCTTTATCTACCTCTCTGCACTTTATAGTGTTATCTTATTAAGGTAATGCTGAAGGGAAACTTATTCAGTGTGCACTTAGCTGTGGAGCTCATGCACAACCTAATTTATTTTGAACCCAGGTATCTCATTTGATGCCTATGTTGGGTTTTTTTACATTAGAAGAGGTGGCAGTTATGATGGAGAATCTACTTTCTTACACATCTAAGTGTAGGAATTAATCCAGGCATTATATTTATTTTCTTGTCCATCAGTAACTGATGGAAAATTCCTTAGAATTTTATATTTTAGATAGCTTGTTTAATTTTTTTCTAGTGTTGTAAAGTATAAGTAAAACATACAGTAAAGAGGACAACATTTGAAAAAAGTTATCATAATTGCAGCATGTTTTAGTATCAAAAGCAACATCTGCTTAATCCTTCTCAGATAGAATCAAGTCAAAGCAGGATGGCTGGCAACTCAGTAAGAATTCTGCTGTGAGTCAAGGCCAACACATAATGCAACACCAAGTCTTTCTGTAGAATAGATGGAGAGAAGCTAAATAGATGGAAAGATTTCTCTCTTTTTGACCATTGCCTTTTTAGGAATTTCTTTTCCTGTTTCTATTCCTGCCACCCATTCATTAAGAATGAAATCTACCAGTCCCTGTAAAATGAATTCTAAAATGCTTAAATATTTTTTAAAATTATTATGATTTAAATTTCTATAGGCTGATGCAAAAATAACACACTATTCTCTATTATATTCTGGAGATTTTCAAGATTTTCAACATAATAATATAAAAATCTTGGTGAGGACAAAGCTTGGAGTTTTAAGGGTAGCTTTACAAATTTACATTATTCCTACTAAAACAATAGTTAAGAATGGTTTGAATGAAATTTAAAGTCTTTTAAAAAGCATTTGCAACACTGATTAATTTTAAAACATTCCTTTGATGAAAGGGTAATTTTGCTGAGATTTCAGTGTTGTTTTAAATTTCACATGTGACAAGAGAAGAAAATTATCTAACTATCCCTGATGTGTGCACACTTTAACTGTTTTAACTCCTTTGAGGCATTATAATAAGAACCACAAAAATCATAGAATCACAGAATGATTTGGATTGGAAGGGATCTTAAAGATCCAACCACCCTGCTATGAGCAGGGACACCTTCCACTAAACCAGGTTCTCAAAGCCCCATCCAATCTAGTCTTGAACACTTCAGGCATGAGCCATCCACAACTTCCCTGTGCACCCTGTGCTTGTGTCCCACTCTCACAGTAAATAAATTCTTTGTAACAGCTAATCTAAATCCATGTTCTTTCAGCTTAAAAATGTTCCCCCTCACCCTGTTGCTAAATGCCCTTGTAAAAAGCTATAAGGTCTCCTTGGAGCCTTCTCTTCTCCAGGCTGAACAACCCCAACTAGTGTTGGCCTGATGGAGACCTGAATTTGCTCTCTTTCAACAAAAATCAAACCCAACTGGATTGCTATGAAGATAATTTTCTTTGCTTTAGGGTTGGAGATATTTATCTATGTGTTTGGGATCTATCTGGCAAAGCATGCAGGCATGTTAAGGCTTTTGAAGTCAATAGGACTGTTTGTGTTAGAAAACATTCCAAGCATATGTGGCTTCTTATTATCCCTGTATATGTATTTGCTTAGGAGGAGAAGTTAAACACCAACCTTTTCAGGCCTCCTGCAAGATTCCTTGTTCTTTATGTATCATAGTAATAAATTACTATAAACCCTTATATGCTCCAGATATTTGTGTAATATGACACGTTAGAATGAATATGCCTTCTGGCAAGAAAAACAAGTAGTGCCAGACCTTACACTCAGATACAGTGATGAAAGTTAGCATAAAAGTTTGTTATTTACTGCTGAAATCAAAGACAGTTAAATTTCTTGGTTTAAAATACAGCTTCTTCTTTGATCTAAAAAGGACAGTCATATAGCTTCAATGTAGATTATAGGTTTGATAAATGGCCCCTATACTTCATTGAAGAGTAATTCTTTATATAAATGAGCAACAACTCATGATAATATATTTGTAAAGTGACTGAAGATACAGCAGCAAAGTGCTGAACAAAAGAATGGTATCTGCTGAAGGACTGTGAATCCGTTTCTCACTATCATAATACTTTATTAGCATTTATGCATTTAGCTGGAATCAACAGCAATAAGAGTGAAAATGTCACTTGAAAATGACATTGATATAATATGTAAAATAAATCAATTTCATAAATACAATAATATTATTTCTATCCAGATATACAAATATTGTTTTTCATATAGAAACCTCATAAAAGTGACTAATAAACAGAAGATAAAAATGTAAATAACTTATGGGAAAAGCCTGACAGTAGGATGCCATCTGGTTAAATACCAGACTAAGTACTGTTGTATGCTTCAAGGATGCAAAAGTTGCAAATAATTAAAATATTAGCAAATAGTATTAAAGAAGAGTGAAAAAATCAAGAGTGATATAATGAATGCACATAAAGGAGAAACTTGATAAGAGTTTTGGCATTAAGTGTAATTTGTCATAGCAGAAGACATAGTTTTACTAATCTTACAGATTTCTGAGTGAAGTTAAAATATGGTGGGACAGAAAAATAGATACTATTTGAGGACAGATGTGATGTATAGTTATAGAAAGTAAAACATAGGACAGAACAAGAAAATTTGTGATTGTTATTTATTATTTTATAGTGCAGGAATGATTTCCTGTTACTGTAAAAGATGACACTTCTAAAATTGGTATGAGTAAATACATCTTGAGACTTATTGCCAAAGACATTTGAGATAGTTTAAGCAATGTTATGAGTAACAGACATTAATAGATAAAAACAATTTCAAAATGAGAAATATGTATCAAAGTTGTAGTACATTAGCAGATTTGGTGTTGCTGTGTGGTGAGGAGACCCTGTCCTTGCTAGGAGTGCTCTGGCCCTGTGAGCTCCCTCATGGACCAATCACTTCATCCCACCCACAGTCAGATCTTAGTGGGTGCAAAACACAGGATGGCTCTTGCACCTTCAGGAGTGTTTGTCCAGTGCTGGTGTCATCACCTAGGGCATAATGTATTCCACGTGCATATATGCATACTTACAGGTAATAAGAGGAGGTGTGCAGTACTTTGTGCATTATAGTTGATGCTTTCATCTCCAGAATGGTATTGAAGAGAATGTCATGCATAGCATAGAGGTGCTGATTTGCCAGTAGCAAAGGCATTACAGCTTTACATTACAGCAAAAGGCAATATTTGAAGCCTATAAATCTAGCGTTATTTTTACATTAAATACTTTCTCTTTTGATCGTAGAATTCCAGAAGAACAATGTAGGAATGTTTATTACATTAAATGACTGTCCATGATTCGCTATAAAATGCATTGCATCATAAACACTGAGTGTATACCTGAGAGCTTGCAATTAGTTACTATATGCTGACATTCAAACCGGATTACCATGCATAAATATTTATTAAATTTGTTATTAAAATAATTTATTAGACTGCAGCACAGAGCCCTATTATTTCTACTTGTCAAGTCTACAAAAGTGGTTTTTTTAATCTTTTGTTCCCGGGCAGGTGTTATCTTATCATGCAACATGTTCGAAGGCAGAAGTTGATAAATTTAAGGTAAGGACTTACATTTTTCGTTATCTCTGACAATATAGCAGTAGATTAAAATGGATGTAGGTTATCTGAGAGAAAAGCAGAAAATAATTATTAACAATAATTATTATTAATCCTTTAAAGGATAAAGACCTGCAGTGATGGGTGCACAGCAGCAAAATAGCATTGTGCCAGTACCAGCTGCTAGAACTGCATGGGTTTGGTGGCCTCCTCTGCAAGAGCCATCATAGCAAAATTGTACACAGTGAGAGGTTAGGAAGAGACTGGATAAATTGAGAGGAGCTTGAGACTTTGTGTGCTTAGAGTGTGGAAGCTGTCCTGTGTTTACAAAAAAGATTGTGCATAGGCTCAGAAGGCCGGACGTGAAGGTGAGAAATCCTCTTCTAACTTCTGTAAGCACCTTGGGCAGAACTGTGAAGTGATGTGTGCTGAACATAGCATTGCTAGAGACCAGTAACTGTGTTCTCATTGAATCCTCCCTTTGCAAAGGATAGAGAGCAGGGGGAACACTGACCTTGCTCTTCTATCACTGCTAGTGCTCCAAAGCTACTTTGCTAATAGGCTTTGTCCTTTTCTGCTTGAGAAAACACTGGTGTAACTTGGTGGCACTTCCTTGGCTATGAGGAGTCAGTGTTGCAGATGGCTCCTGCAAGTTGTGTGGGAGGTTCTTGTGGTGGGAATTAGTGTAGGTCTCATGTATGCAAAGTGCATCAGATTGTTGTGAGGTCTGGGAAGGAGATCTGGGCTGTTGTGACCCCACACTGCTGGCATTCCCTGCTGTGGCTCCCTGGCATCTGTCACTGCTTGATGGGTTTTTTTGACACTTCACTGGCTGACTGCAACCTGATTTCTGCCCTGTGGGGATGGTTGTGGTGGAAGGAGAAAGCCCAAGAATGATTTGTCAGAGCTGATACTGATGAGTTACCTGGGCTGAGGAAGGGCAGAGATTGCTAGTTGCTTGATTTGTAGATTATTGCCCAAATGATCACTGTGACTTAGAACTTTGTATCAATACCGGGTGATAAGGTGTAATATTCTCCTTCTGTTGAAGCTACTGTGCAGTTACCCGGACTTTTGTAAGAGGAAGATTAGATTACCAAGTTATTGCAGTCACCAAACCTACTTGAAAATCATTCCAAAACTGCAGCCAGCATTAAATGATTCTGTGTGCTTAATAAGTTGTATTTTATATTTGGCAAAAAGAACAATGAACACAGTGTGAGAGAGGATACAATAAAGGGACAAAGGACCATATTTTTAAATTTTGTTTGTTTGTCTTAAAATAAGCATCTGTATCATAGCTTCTGTGATGGTCAGGATTCAACCAGTATCTTTCTACATACTAGAGGTCCATACTTCTTGGTTGCTATGAGCCATTGAAAGATAGTTCCATCATGATGTCTGTAGTTGAGCTAAAAGCCTACTATGTTACTCTTCGAACTTAGAAACTAGTGTGATGAGGAGCTATTCTTCTTGTTTTCCCAGGTGTCTTCATTAATAGATTTGCCAGTCTCCAAGTAAGGAATGTCTTGTTATTTGTTTACCTTGACAGCATATAACCATCCATTTAATAGTTAATGATAATGTAAAGGAAAATGAAAAGCATTTACTCATTAATAACCCTAAAGGATACATTTTTATGAAGAACACAGATGAAAAAGTGAGTAATATAATCAAGGTGTGCTTAAACTAAGCTGGGGTTTTTTCAGAAAAATTTTTGCTTTCCTCTATCCAGTTGTCTTGCTTTCAGTTCCTGACAATATGAATTCCAATGGTCTTTTACACCACTGGTTGTAAACAAAACAACAAAAAGCCAGAGAGGACTGGCATGTCTTGTGGGCCTTTGACAGAGAGGTCATCCCCAGAGAGGCCATCCATCCACAGGATGAAATTGGTCCCGTCTGCCCCCTTGCAGAGCTTGGCAGCCAGTCTCCCTTCTAAGATCTCCTGGGGCATCCTACCCTGAAATCACTGCTCTCTTCTCTGATCCTTGTATTGTTATATTTTGTAGAAGCCCTTTGTTATATTGAGGTCATCTCCTAGACTTGACTGGCTAATAAACAATTCCTCCCTCTGGGGGTGTTTGGGGCTAAAACTGTCCCTTCTCCCTTTGGTGATTTATTGGCAGATGTCAGAAGACATGTCTGGTAGGATTTACCTGATGTTCTGGTTCAGTCAGAACAGTAACAAACACCCATGACAGGAACATCTAAATGAGAGTAATGCCAGTAGTTCACTACTGACTGGATCTGGAATGACATGGGACCTAATGGTAATTAATGACTTTGGAGAGACAATACATCTGAGTTGACAACTTTTCCACATATTACTCCAAACAAACTGTAACCTCAGAAATCATTGCATATTCTTCCTCTTAGATGAAGCTGTTTATTTCCATCTTTGTGATCTTATCTCTTTATAGTCTTAATAATATGCTTTGCCATTAATTTTTATTTGCCTAAAATCTCAGTAATATTCTGATTAAAAGTGAAAAATTGCAATTATACTTGAAGTTGTGGGTTTTTTTCCTCCAGTTTTTACCAGGGAATTAATTGTATTTCATTGTAGAAAGGCTAGCAAGACTTGCTGAAATTCTGTCAAGAATTTCCTACTGTTATTAGATTAATTCACAGATATACTTAATGAATTCACAATATACTAAGAATCAAACAATCACCGGGAGCAGGTTATGTAAAATAAAATGTATTTCACTTGCTTCTAATCCTGTCTAAGAATTAACGAAACAACAGAAAACCCCACCTTATTAGGAAAACCTTAAGAAATTAAATAACTTTCTCCAGATGCTAGGATGGGAAAAAATGCAGAGCACCATTGGCTGTGGATCTGGAAAATACAGAGGGAAGTTCATAATATGGAACAACGAAAAAGAAGTGTATGATAATGGACCATGTAATGCAATTGTCCTGTTCCATATCTGATTTCTACAGTTGTCTAAAAACAAAGCAGCAATATAGATGCACAGTGAATGGGTGTTTTGCATGCTTTTGAAGTGATTCCACTTCTGATGTTACTACAATACAGCTTTCACTAATAAAAATCAAACCCAAGTTTAAAAATACTTACATATTTCTTAGAAATTGTTCTAATAATGAGTGTACGGGGATTTTTCTCAGAAGAGAATCCAATTATGTGAATCATGAGTGTAAAAATTCATGTCACCAGCCCTTTTCATTATTTGCATTAAATTATTTGGGATTCATTATCACTAGCAGGCATACATTTCTAGGGAGCTCTGTGCAAAGCCCAGCTGTATTGCAGGCAGCTGCAGCTCTGCTGGCCTGGTTGGAGCAACCTGGGGTGCTGCCCACACCTGGGGAAGTGGGAAGGGAAAATTTATGCCCTTGGTTCAGCAATAAAATAGGGGGCTTAGCTCTCCAGGTAGACAAAAATGGAACTGCAGAGATCTAGATTCGGAGCCTGAGCAAATCCCAGTCTCTGTAGGTGATGATCTGGCCCCAGGGAAGGTAACAGGAGATTTGCTGTTGATTTCAGCAAGGATGTTTCTGTCTTCAGTTTTGTTTGGCATTTGTAAAATTGCATAGTAATGTTCCTTCTGCCACCTTCCATCTATGTATTCATGGCAGTCAGCCTTTTGCATTGAGTTTTCTGATAGAATCACGGAACGGTTTGGGTTGGAAGGGACCTTATAGGTCATCTAGTTCCAACACCCCTGCATGGGAAGGGACACCTCCCACAAGTCCAAGATATCTAAAAAAAAAGGTAAAGAACCAATCCCCTTTTTATGCCACTTGAAAGTGTCGGTCAAGTGAAAACTCAAGGTGTCAGTTGTGTAAAATGAGTCATTTTTCCTGAAATGGGTAGTTCTTTAAAATGGAAGCTTAATTTACAGAGTTTCAATAATAAGCAATTTAAACAGCATTACTTGTTAATCAGAATGAATCATGGGGTATCTGCCATTATTCCAGTATTTCAGATATGCACTGTGCTTCCAAGTTCTAAGAAAGAGGATTGTGTTTTTTGTAAATGATTTATAGGATTAAAATAAGAGCAGTGAAAACACACAATGTATAGTAAGTACTGTACATAAACTCTCCATTGTCAGATAATTTTATATTTTTGCTACAAAATAATTTTCAACTTTGGGGTTTTTTACTATAAAGTATGATGGTGTTCAGCTATAAGCATTTGAATTACTGGAATAGAAAAATGTAAGACTAGTGAAGTCTGACTAAGATTGTTGCTATCCTATAGCAATGTGCAGCTGTGCCAGGTTTCTGCTCATTCAAATGCAGTCTCTCCAAGCCTAAAAATAGTTGTCTTTTACACAAATATAGAAGGCCAAGATACATAAGTAAAGAATTCAGAATTGTGTCCAGGGCAGGATATTTATAGAAAGAGTTCCTGACTTCTGAGACAGTAATGAACAAGTCCTGTGACTTGGCAAGCAGTCCCACAAACACACATCACCTTTAAATTTCACTAATATCATTTTCTAAGAGAATTTATATACACTGTCCTATAGTGGGTAATGTACAAGAACCTATTTTTAAAAAGCTAACCTAATTGTGCAGCTGTGAATGGTATAAGCCAGATCAATATTTAATGACCATAATGCATTATTTAAAAGCCTGTGAGAGATTCCCTTTTTTAGGTCAAACAGCACACAGGAGAGCTACAAAACAGAAAATAATGCAATGTCTGCTTTACAGAATCTTAAATTCAAAATGTAGTGTGCGTGAAAATTCTTGTGTTTTTCAGTTCTACAGTCTGAGGTATGGCTAAGACCTGCCTCCACGCAGGGAGGCTTTTGTTTCTCTCTTAAATAGACATTTAACTAACGATGGAAAAGGTTGAACCAAAAAAGGAAACAGCTTTTATAGGACTGTAACTCTATATGGCAAGGTAAACAGTTGAATACATGAAAGATGATGAATTGAAGTGAATATGATAGTTGGAGTACATTAAAGTATTATATAAATGAGTTTGTTATTAATATCTTATGCTGTTATAATTTTATACCC